CCATGAGTTTAAGATATGAGCGCTATATAAATACAAGTTATTGTTATTATAATTATTATTAGCACACGTGCCACACTCTCCTGTCCCGCATAGTCTACACCTCACATCCGAGTCACCGCTTGTCTTAGCTTTTCTGGTGCTATAGACCTTTTTCGGGAGGAGCTGTTGGTATAACTCCTCAAGTGCTACTATTGTGTAAGTGGGAGCAGTTCTCCATTCACACAATAGTGAGAAACAGCTCCTGTCGAGTTGATCGTCTTGCCACCGATTGGCCACTAACTTGCCTTGCCAACTCTGTTCTTCGATCCCCTGGCGACGCTTAGTGTTGAAGGCTTTCATGGCGAACACTCCTATCTTCTTCTTGTCAACCAGTTCCCCTTCCTCTGTCCGGCCAACTGGCTCTGGGTGCTCCAGTTCGAGCTCAATCCCAAGCTCCCTTGCGAAACCGCTCGCGTCCTTCAGCATAGAACGTCGCCCCTTATCGACAGCCCTCTCTTCACACTCTCGTACCAGCTTTAACGTTGGGTCTGTATTTGCACACAGTTTAACCGCGGCCTTGATCTTAACTAACTTATACTCAGATTATTATTATTATAATTATTATTATTATCATTATTATTATTATAGAGTTACTTGCGTTAAAGAAAGGAGATGACTACTCCACAACCATATCTTGGATAAGGGCGAAGATATCCTTTGCCATTCTACGTTCAGCTTTGCGGTGTCTCAGAGGAACCAGGAGAAAGAGACGAGTAGCCAATATTATCATTATTATTACTATCATCATTATTATTATTATCATTATTATTATTTTTATTATTATAGAAGTAGTTGGTCATATTGGGCCCTAAAATATCCTTATTTTTTGACTTTGTCAAAACCAGGAAAAGCCGTCTTTACTTAAGGCAGAGGTAAGGGAAGAAATAAAATGAAAAATTTGAAACAATTTAATTTTGTAGAAGTCTGATAGATGCAGAACATAACCCAGTTGATTGAATTTGCAGATGGCTCATCGGTTTGTCACAGCAGCAATGCAAAGTTACCTTATCTCTCTAATTTTTATTTAATCCAAAATTTTTACCACAAAATACAAATAACATTTTTACCACACAATGCAAATAACGATAAAAACAAGACAGTCACACAAAAACAAATAAAAGTGGCGAGGAAGCCTAAAGAGAAACCATGGGGCTTATAGATAATGGGCTTCCTCAGAGTAAAAAAAAAAATTATAAAGTTAACAGTAACAGTAAGGCCAGGATCGAAGGTAAAATATAATGAAGGCAAATATAGGCTGACTAATTATGCAAAAAATGCAGGAAGTGGGGGGGTTTTTCCAGGGAGACCCTATATCTCCCAGGGAATTAAATATTTTGATCAATTATTTTCACACATTTGTTAACTCCCGATACTTAGCATTTGTGCCAAGTTTGAGCCAAATCGGTGATTTGAGGTTTATCAGCCTTGCCCGGCGGTTCTGCCCGGTTTTCTCATGGACACGCTCTTAAAAAGGGGAGTTAATTTATTTGGCAATGACTAAATTTTCATGGGAAATGCTCTTCTTTGAAAGCGGAGATGCAGAAGCTATTAGAGATAAGGGAGCAAATCATTGAAATCTTAATACTCATAATTCTTACCGCAAACAATATTGGTAAATTTTACTACAATTTCAAGCCGTTGGTTGATATGAAAACTCTGAGTGAATTGTTATCAGCCCTGCAAAGAATGCTCAAAATAGTCTGTGTGCAATTGATGAACAGCAAATTGGCAATCATGCCTTATTGCTTGACATGCTTCACTCTTACATGTCAGTTGTGTCTACTTACCATGACAGAGGTGCCTCTTAAAAATTGCTCAAGTGGTACATTTATAACTTTTGTTCTCTGTTGATCTTTGTAACTTAATTAAAAAGCTACTAAAATGGCTGAACTTTAAATTTTGTGTACTTGAGGCTCCTTCCAGGGTGGAAGAATAGAGGATTTTTTAGGCACTTGTACTTTAATTATACCAGTGTTATTTAAGCAATTCTCTACAATTATAACACTGAATGTCTTTCACAACCATACACATTTTTATTTGCCTCACTTTCCTTGGTCACAATAGGTAACTTAAAGACTGTTAGAAAAGCCAACAAACAAATGAATAATTACAGTTAAGTTAGGAAATATCACAGAATATCTCATTTCCTCCAATACGTTTCATGTTTCTTATCAATGAAATAAAATGTAATCAGTTGTCAGGATTGCCTAAATTGTGGGAAATTGCCTGTGTGGTCTTGATTCTTCTCAAATGTTAACTGGTAAAAGATAAATACACCCCCATTATAGTACAAATAGGTGACCATAGGAAAAAGGTACACATTTTCAAAGAATTGAAATAGAAGTAGCTAATGATCATAAAATTTGGAGGGATTTGGTTTTGAGATTGGTTTGTGCTAATTAGAATGATAGTAGTTGGAAAAATTAACTGAGGATTTTCCTATTCAGCAGCAAGATAATTAAATTTTGGACTCTATACATTTAAAACTTGGTAAAATATTCAGATGAAATTTATCAATATATGAGCTGGTTACATGGAAAGGTAATTGTAATAATTATAGCTTCACAGATGTTTTTCTTGTAAAATAGAATGTTTCAATAACTTTAGTCCTTTCTCTTGGACATCATTTACTGTTTCTGGAGCACCATAAAAGGAAGCAGGTTAGAAAAACTTTTGATTCAGTTAATTATATGAATATGTGAGTAAAAATTGATGTTTTTGCATGATACAGGATGGTTAGGTGGAGGATAGTTAAAAAAGGAGTGATTTTGATGGTAACAAGGTGACTATAATTGGGAAACTTGAGCACTTGTAATAACATCTTGGCTTGAAATTCTAACAATTACAGTTTGCTGACTTTAGATAAAATGTCTTTCCCTATACAGGAGTGTACCTTCCATATGACCTGCACAGTCAATATGCTATGAGCTAACTGAAAAAAATTGTTTGTCTTTGGCAGAACCACAGTGAGTAGTCAGACTGGCACCTTAAGGGGCAAACATTAATAATTTGTAGGCATGAATATATAAAAGAGGTTATGGCAGAAATTGACCCTATTTTTTCAAGAATGCATATGGTTTGATGATTGTAATGTTTTTCTTTCAGCTTTGCATTAATTGTAGGTTTTTACTATATTTATATAGTCAATTTGTATCTAATAGCCCTGAAAAATTGTAGTATGGGAGTCTGTAACCTGACTTCCTTTGTTTACAGTTGTGTGCAGATTACGTACAGATAGTTTTCTTGTAGTTACTGAAGTTGCAGAGTAAGTTACTGACATTGTAACATGTAATATTATTTGGATAGCATTAAAATCACAGGTTGAAGCTTTCAATAGTGCATGGTGTTTGTACAAACACTGAAACCCACACTAAGCATTGATATACATGTAAGGAATTGGTCACAATTAAGTTATGTTACTAGATAAGCAAGGATCCTCCTACAATTAGAGCTGAAATTAATTTAATCAATGGTTTTACTTTGACCTGCCTTCTCCCCTTTAATGTTTAGGGGCACATAAGATGAAGAGTGCCTTTTTTATACTTTGATGTATGAAGAAAATCCATGGTTGGGTTGAGATATGTTACAAAAACTTGCCAGCTTGTTGCAGCATAAGTGGAAAAATGGAAGGCAGAAATGTACATTTAATGTATAACCTGAGTTGATGCATGCATGACTTATCCAATTTTAACAAATACATAAGCCTTTTCAAAAAGCTATGATGTTAGAATTTTGTCCAAGTGAACTGGTGAAAGTCTTAGTAGGTGGCCATGATAAATACTTTTTGCAGATCAACAAAGTTTGTTGTTGTGTTTTATTTAACAACTCCACCTCTCAGGAAATTAATTTTTTAAGGTGACATGAGATGGCATTTAAAAGTTTTCAGCCTCTTTAAAGCCAATAAGAACATGAAATGACCTTCTAAATTATCTGGTAATGCTTGGTAAACTGTGTATTTGGGAACACAGAAGAAACAAGTCAATCCTAAAGTTTAATTTGGTTCCACACGAAGTAGAAGCCAAGAAGGAGAGTGAAAGACATCTACTTAAGAAATAAGAAACCAAGATTTTAGGAAAAGTTGGGAACCATTAGTATTAAGAATTTTGTTGTGGTACTGCAGGGAGGAAATATGTGGATGGCTCTTTGAAAATCTGCATTGTCAATTTTTATGATCGACTAACTCGTGCTTAAAAGTCTAATTGAAATATTTGCACTGTGTTTGTGATGTGTTGTGCTGTCTACCTCTCTAGAATATATAAGTTAAGTATTAATTCTAGATAGCATTATGAGTAATGTAAGCATTGTTAGTATTGTAATTACTGTAAGGGATTGATGTAGTATTAGTAATGTACCGTTGTCTGTAGTAAATAATAATAATAATACATCATGAACATTAAAAAAAAACATCTTAGTATTGGGCCAATTGACACTTTTATTGTTTTATATCGATCATTTATATTTAAGAAAGTTGTAAATGAGAAACTTGTCAAAAAAGTCGAAGATCAACAGTGGCAAGGAAGTCTTTTAAAAGAAAGATGGCAAGATGATCAACTGAGCCATGAAAATTGTTTAGCATGGCTCAATAAATGGCAATGTGCTCCTACCCCCTGTATCGCAGGAATCATAGAACTGTACGAACATCTCACACCAACAAAGGTCTACATGGCCTACAAGACTGGAACAACGGACAAGAACGATGCCAAATGTAGAATATGTGGCGAAGGTTCCGAGAACATGGCACATGTACTTGCTGGATGTCCATCATTAGCTCAGTCCAAGTACTTATAGAAAGGCACAGTTTTGTTCTGAAAGTGTTCTTCTTTGAGATGCTCAAAGACCTAGAGCTCTCTGATAGCACTCCGCCATGGTTCTCAGATGTGAAGCCCAAACCTCTTTATAACTCACCTGATGCTGAGGCATACTGGGATGTACCAGTATGTGCTGATCATACATATGTACGATCTAATCGTATGGATGCACGTTTCATCGACCACAAAAACAAGAAGGTACTTATGGTGGAAATGAGCTGCCCTTGGATCAACAACAGAGACAAGAAAGACAAAGAAAAGACCAAGAAGTATG